AGACTTGCTTTAGGGAAGCAGATGCTCTGCTGTGGTTGCACTGCTGGGTTGATAAGGGACAGCGGGTCCTTCCCTGGTGTGGGAGGCAGATGTAAAGAGAAAGGTTCGGCAGGATTAGAAAGAATTTGTTTCATTTCTTGACCACAGGACTTCTTAGCGCCCTTGACCTGAACCTGCACCTCTCCGCATCATGGTGACAGTGTTGGCCCTGAGCCCTGGACTCTAAGGTCCACTTTCTGGTCCTTAGCTGGACAGTAAGAAGTAGAACACAAAGACGGTACCTTCTCAAATATCCTGTTTTGTACAGCATCTCTGGCATGCTAAGATTCAGTGAGCATTTTCAAAACTAGTCCATAAAGGTGTCACTCCATAAAAATTTCTCTCATGGGTCGCATTTGCAGATGGTTTTGCTGAGGAACAGAGCTTTTAGGAATACTTCTAAGGATGCTGCCTTGGGGAGACAGGAATAAAAACTATGACGCTGCCTGGTTCCTCGCCTGACTCGGAAGAGCGCAGAATCTATTATTCCTCCTGCAGTTTCCTGTTTCAGGAGACTTTCTCCTTCTCAAATTTATTTCAGCCCAAACTGTTGACATCATGATCAACAGCCATCTTACTATGATGTCCCTTCCCGCTCTCTGTGTCCCTCTGACCTCCACGCACATGCAATGATGTGTGGTCATCATGACAACAGATTTTTGAACCAGAAAATGCAGAGAAGGAGAAAAAACATGGGCTAATCTCACTTCTTTCTTCCAGATTTCTTTTTTTTGCTGTTTTTCTGCAGATCGTGTCTTTCAAAGCACACACTGGGCAAAGCCAGGGAGGAGAATGGACAGCTTCCTACTTTCCCAGCGAGAAGCCAGTGGGTGCACCCACCATTCCCACAGGCCTTGAGCCAACCCCAGTGGCTATGGACATATGGGCATATGGATGCATTGGACCAGAGGCACACGGGGTCACTGAGTCACACTGGTTGGAGCTCTGTCCTGCCAGGGCATCTCAGAGATAAAACCTTCCTACCATAAGAAGATTTGTATTTCTCCCATTCCAGGGGAAAGAAAATTTCCTTTTCTTTCTGCTCCCCACCTCCTTTTTTTGGCATGTGGTATTTTGCATTTTAAAGATGTTTCAAAAATGAGTACTTACTGTGCACTCCCAGGCATTAATTGTTCAGGAGCACAGGTTTCCTGAGTCCCGCACAGGTCTACCATCACCGCAGCAGGGGACCCTTCTCAGCCCTGACAGCTCACATCTTCTACCAGCGCCTTACCAGCACTCAGGACAGAGCCAGGGTCTTTCTCAGCCTCCTCCCATCCCACACCTTCCAACAGCCTGGACAGCGGAGCCCTGGATGGTGCGTTTCTCTTTACTCCAGAAAATACATGAGCATACTTTTTTCCTCCTCTACCCATGTGAAACCCTGCATTCCTAGTGTGCAGGCAGGTTTTTCACAGAAAAGCATTACAATCTTGTAATTGAATTAGGTGCTTGTGGGAACCGGCACAATTAAAACCAGAAAATAATTTAGAAAGATTTAGCCCATTACGGTAAGATTTTTCTTATTAGTGAAGAGGCAATACAATTAGGTAAAGTGACTGATTAAAACCACTACTCCGAACCTGAACACCCCCAAGTGCACCAAGGGCTCTGCTGTGGATGGAGAAAAGAGCCCTCACTCCCACTCTGCCCAAATCAAATCAGAAAGCCGAACCCAGTGATTCCCCAGGAGGAGTGCTACACCTCCCAGGAGAGCGAAAAACAATTTAATCTGAAGCTGACTGGAAATTACTACACAGCTAAGTTATTTCCACCGTTTTAAGCAGACGAGCTCAGGATTTTGTGATAAGATGGTGCAACCTGTATCAGCTTATTTATATAAACCCTGAAGAATAAACAAGGGAGTAGAAATCTACTTTTCAGGATGGGGGTGGATGGGGGTGGTGAGGTTCATCAGGTTTCATTTGGTGGCAACAGTGAGCCAGTTACAAGATGACCTGACACTTCGCACAGCCATCAAGAGTAGTTATCAGCCAGCTCTGCCTACAGCCTGACGACTGAGCCCAGAGAACCAACTGATCGAAAGTGACTATTCTGGAGTCAGATGCACATGGGTCCAGTGTGGTCACCTGAATTTACACGAACCCTGAGAAATGTCTCCAAACTAAAATCTCCCTGTAAACCTCGGCCTCTGCCTCTGTAAGGAGTTAATAGAACCCGCTTGTAGAATTGATAGGGAATTAGATGAAGTGTGTACCACACTCGGCACTTTGCAGCGCTCAGGAAATACCCAAGCTTGGCTATTGCAACAAAATGACGGCTCGCGCAGTCATAGATGTTTCCAGGTATCAACAGGCGCTGTGGTGAACACTTCGGTACATTACCCGCGGAACCACATGGGGATGCTAGGTCGGTATCACCCACTCTATCTCTGTGCCCCAGAAGAGGCAATGGAGGCTTCAGAGTTTGAGTAATGTCCAAAGTGATCCAACCAGTGCTGCGATGACAGGAGGGCACCACCAAGCCAGCCGAGAAGCCCTTAATTTTTATCCTCAGAGCCACATAGAGAAGGCGTGCACGCAGTCCTCCCTTCCTTCCTGTTTTTGCAGAATTCAGTCTCGCGCGCTATATCTGAACTGGCCAGCTCTCTAACTGCTTGTAATAGAGAAAACAATTCCGCAGCTTGCTGTTGTAGTTAGCAAATCCCCGCCGAGGTAACAGGTGCTCTCGGATCAGTGGCCAATCACGTCGCGGCTTTCATGCTGCCTGTGCTGATTGGGTTTGCAGCGCTAGGTCCTGTTTCCTGGGTCTCTCCTGGGCAAAGCCCGCAAGGGTCTACAGAAAACAAAGGCGGGACCTGGGGCGCATGGCTAAAATAATGACAGCACAGCAAAGAAAGATAAAAGCAATAAGGCTGACAGTGAAATTCAAATGAGCTGTGTGAGGTCTGATCAAAACACGTGCTCAATGTTCAAAGAAAATTTACGTTACCGTGAATCCTCCTCAGATTCCTTCCCTATCTTTGAGCACACGCATTCATCCTGCTTGCCGCTTTCCCAAGCAGCTCTGCAGTCCTCTTTCCTGAATGTCCGTATGAGCTGTGATCAAAAAGACAGTGAATGCTGCCTCGGCATACAATCCAAGAGAAAGACAGCTCTTAAAAGCACGACACCGTGTCCTCCGCCACCTTAGTCCCTGGATCGGGCGCTGTGCGGTTTCTGGCTTTTCCCCAAAGTGAGAATGATCGCGAAAGGGAAGCATTTTGAATTGAACATTGAGCCAAGCAGGACAGCGCAACTAAAGACCCTCAGGAAAGAGGACTCTGGAGCTGCTGCAGGAAGTGGCCAGGATAGTGGGATGAGTATGTTGGAAGCAAGGAGGAAGAAGACACTGAGAGGGATTCATGGCAAAGCATCTTTTACTATAAAATTTTATTTTCAGTTTAAACATCTGCTGTGGGGTTTTTTTTTTTTTTCTTTTTTTTTTAGTATTGGAATCAAACCTGGTGCTTGCCAGGCGTATGCTTGTGCCGCTGAGCTATATCCCTGCCCCTCTGCTGTTTTTTTGATCCCCTCTCACACATGGAGCCCAGAAGAGCTAGCTGACCTTGGGGACGTGACGTTGCCGTGGTTTGGAACACATGTGCAGGTGTGCCGCCCAAGGAGCCAAGCAAGGGTGACTGACTCAGCCCAGGAATGGCCGTTGCAGGAAGGGTGGCATCGGCCACCAGGCTCACACTGAATGATTTTGCCACACTGACAGCACAAAGGAGACAATGCAGGAGCTGTCCCAAGCTAGAAAGGAGCTCCGTCCCCAAGGCTGGAGCAGAGGCCAGGGTAGGGGTGCGAGTTACCCAGGAGAAGAGCGGGTGAGCTACTCAGAGCACTCGCACTGAGCTCTTTACAAAGAAAACACAAAATGCTTTAATCTCCAGCATTTCCAGTGCTGAAATTACAGCATATAAAAGACATTAATTTTACAATTTTTACATTTTCCTGTTTACAACTGACATTAAAACAATTTTTATGACAAGTTTCAGTGTCACGACCCAATGTTTTCAAGGTCACAAAACGATTGTAACATTTCCCACAGATTACTGAGGTCATTTTGCATAGTTTCAGCTTGCATGACTTTTTTCTGATACTGGGCATTGAACCCAAGCTCTTCACACTGAGCTGCATCCCAGCCATTCTTTTATTTTTCATTTTGCGACAAGGTCTCACCAAGTTGTTAGCTTGCTCCAGTTGGGCTAGAGAAATCCTCCTGCCTCGGCCTCCCAGAGATTTTTGAGATTACAGTCCTACACCACCATACCAAATGGCATGATAATTTTCATGGTCCTGTGACTTTCGCAAACTGCCCTCTAAGCTAAACATCTGTACACTTGAAATGGGTTCATTTCCTCCACAGCAGACCTGGATACAAGACCAGAGCATCCCCTCCCATGTTCCTATCTTGGTGGTTGCTATTTGGCCGCCCGCCTTGGGGTGGCTCCCATCTCCGGAAGTAGTCTCTCTCTCCTGCACCCTCCTTCCTCACAGCCAGGCTTCTATACCCAGCTTCCTGCCTCCCTATTTCCGGTTCTGGGCTCCATTTCTTTCTAACACCCCTGAACCACGTGCACCACTCAAGCTGCTCCTGGTTCCCTGTATCCAGCTTTGAGCATTCCGTGTGTAGAGCACCTGCTTGCTTGTCACCCTCTGTATCCTCCTGTCACAGCTCCCACAGGGAGGAGAAAGCAGTGTTTCCATCAATGTGCTGAAGAAACTGAGACACAGAGAGTGGATCCCTCCCTCAGTCACCAGAAAGACTTGGTGTGAGGGTCAGAGCCGGGTGGTCTGGCCTCTCCCCACGATAACCCTCTATGTCCCCACCTAGGGTCCACTCAGCCACTGGGCTTGGTCACAAGCTACTCACAAAATACAAAAACATACTTTAGATGAAGGAATGTGGTCTTCCCTCGAAGGCTGAAAACTATAAAAACAAAACTATCTACTTAGTTCTGTACAAAACACAGTATTTATTGACTTCAGAAACAACCAAATTTGGCGTTCAGAAAAATCCCATCATGTTTTCAAATAGTGTGCATTGTAGTTTCCTGGTTCTGAAAGCATTCCCAAGGCTGATTGTCTGCACACTCAGAAATACTCAGCATCACCACCACACATAAAACAACTCATTTTTAAACACACACATACCAATTCCTTCCCATTAATCGGTAACTGGGTATATGCATATCCACTGGGAGCTATGGCCTCCTTTTGAAGTGCAGGAAGGATCTTTGCTTTTCCAAACCAGGGAGCCCAAGATCCACCCAGGGGCTACTTTGGCTGATTTTCCATACATGGCAGTGCACAGGCCCCCCCTCCTTGGCCCAGGGACAGAGGGGATTCAGGACCAACGTGCAGGGTCAGGTTGCTGGGATGCTCATCCATATTCTCATGCCAACGGCAGGTGTCACCTTGGGCTCCTCACTTAACCTTTATTTCCTCCCAGGAGATGACAAGGATGCTTGCTTGTGAGGAAGGAGTTAATCCACGGCCCGAGCAGCTCACTCCATTCATTTGTTCCTTCATTCAGCAACAAAAAATGATGCAGTGATGAGATGGTTCAGCCCTGTTCCCCTCCCGGGATGCAAACAAAACTGCCTGTAGAGGCCACATCTGGTGAGAAGAAGACAGTAACAAAAGAAGACAGACAAGATGCCAAGAAGTCAGGAAGGAGCAGAGATTGGGACCAAGGAAGGCATTGGGGAAGGGCAAGGTATCTGAGAATGACCTGAAGCAGGCAGGGCCAGAGCTGTAAGCAGCCAGGCAGGGGACAGCCTGTGCCAAGGTCCTGGGGCAGGAGTGTGCCTGGCTGTCTGGGAATGGCTGAGAAACCATGTGGTTAGAGCAGAATAAGAACCAGGTCATAACTCTGCTGGGCCACAGTAACAAACCACTGCTGGTTTGGGGGTGCAGACATTGATGGTCTCACAGTTGTGGAGGCTGGAAGTCCAAGAGCCAGGATCTAGGAGGGCCCTCGCTCCTTGGCTTGCAGAGGGCATCTTCTCCCTGGGTCCTCAGAGTTGTCTTGTGAGTATGCCTGTGTCCTGACCTCTGCTTCCTGTGAGGACACAGTCGTGCTGGTTAGGATCCACCCTTAGACCCCGGCTCCCTTGCTCACACCTTTACAGAATCACATTCTTAAATGCCTAAGTTAGAATTCAACCTGGTACTGGCATCTGGGGTGCTATGGGCAACTTCTAGAGATTCTTCCCAGGTTCTTGGTGTCCCAGAGAACTGGACAAAAAACACAGAGGAAAAGTAGTGAGGTTCTACATTTGTTAACAGTATGAAAAGAAGCAGGCCAAGCAGGGTGACACCCAACCACGCCACAGGACAGGTTAAGGGCAGCCATTGTCTGTAGCCCCACCCACTTCCCCCTCCATCCTCAAGCTGACGTGGGCTCTATGCTATCCAATCAGAAATCGGCTTTATTTCATGCTTTCTGATTGGTCCCAATGGCAAGGCTAGGGAACTGTGTTCCACTGGCACAGTGGACTGGCCTCTCCCAAACCTCCTGCATCCAGTTTATGAATCTGGGAGGTCTCAGTTCCACCCATGACAGAGAGCAAAGGCCCAGCAGAGGGGAAGGGAGGTTTACACAGGGAGTCTGAACCAGAAATACTGCAGGTGTGTTCAGGGGCCAGGGATTCAGAACAGAGCCGATACTCTGTTTCTTTCATTCCTCTGTCTTTTCGTCAGATTCTTAAAAGCCAACTTGGGGACTTCTGGGATACCTCAGTCCTTCAACTTCCACCCTATCCTTCCGTGCCCCTCTCAGGCTTCTTGGCTCCCCTCCTGCTCGCCCACTCTCCAGCCCAGCCCAGCGTTTGCAACTCAGCTCCACTGGACCAACGCATCCCATTCTGCAAAGCGTCATCTCCTAACCTCCAGGTGCCACAGTTATGGCATCCACACACGTCACCATCCACTGGCAGAGGGGAAGCTGGCAGGGAGCCTGTAGAAGGCCAGTGGAGACCCGTACCTAATCACACCCAGGAGGACTCAGGCCAGGACAAGCACATTGTCACCTGCTGCAGGGAAAGCCCAAGCCACCAGCTACTCTCTGCTATCCATGGTTGTGGCCAGGAAGGTGGGCATGTACATGAGATCGTTACCCCCAGTCTCTCCTTGCACCCCGTCTCAGCCCTGCACGGGGGGCCTTGCTGCTGCAGATCCCACTGGATGCGACTTGGGATAGCAGCTTCCATCCCAGGGCCTGCAGATGCCCCTGGTCTCCTACCTGTCAGGAAGCCACAGTTTCCCCCAGCTGAAACAAGGGTAACACACACCCGCGGTGCGGCGAAGGCTCCCTGGGATGAGCAGATAAACCTGTGTGCATGGCTGACAGGGAGAAGCCCCTGACTAGTGCCGACTCAATTCCAGGACTGTCACCTCTGTGTGCCCACTGTCTCCCTGGTTAGCCTCAAAGGCCATCCTTAGAGAGCAGCTGCCCCCTGCTCAGATCTGGCCAAGCCCCAATTCACCAGCAGGGGGCACTCTTTCCCGGAGGCCGGGGTGCTGACTACCGGCTGGGCCATACTGAAGCCCCACCCAACCTCCCCCTGGGAGTGGTCCACAGAGGGGACTCCAAGACACACCTCACCCAGAATCTGCTGTTTCCATCGCTGGGGAAAATGAATAGCTTTTGCTTTTGGGAAAGCACGTGAGTAGGTGTGGTTGGCAGAGCGGCAGCAAGTGCAAGTCCCTGGCAGTGCAAGGAGAGGACGGGCCGGCCGAAACCAGGAGGCGCGTGGAGGGGAAGGGGCCGAGGGGAGGAGCCCCACCTCTTCTGGAAAGGGACAGTGTGACAATCCCCGCTGTTACCACTGTGGGCTGTTTCACAATGGGCAATTGCAGAAGACTTGGGGGGAGGGGCTGTCTGGTTAATTTTTACTAAAATAAGATTCCCTCTTCCTTTAATACAGCGCATAACTTAATCATTCCCCAGTATTAGCTGGGGTTAGAGACCGTGCTGAATTTGTTTAGACAAGCTCTACAATAGTTTTTTTAAAAAGGGAAGGAAGGAAGCAAAGTACACTGAGTTTCTAAGTCCAGAGAACATTCCGTACAGCTTCAGTTTACAACCGAATGTGCTTTACGTTAGCAGACAAGCTATAGCTTGTAAACCTGATGTGGCAATAATCTCAAGTATGAGGCACACGCAGCCCGCCCCCTCTGGTTTATTATGCAATTAGGGAAGATTGGGGCTGGGAGATTGTAGCTGAAAGCAAAGATGGTCTGCACTGAATTGTTCTTAAGCAAAATTTAAATGGGGCTGTTTCTTTCGTGCATTCCTCGGCCAGGTGTCAGCTGCATGATCCTTAGGCTGAGAAAGTGCCGGTGCTCTCCGGGTAAGAAAGTCAAATACTGCAAGTGTTGACATTTTGCTCAGTAAGGTTTATTTTCTTTATTTAAAGCATGTTCAAGGTCCTAAATTTAGAACGGTGACAGTTTTGTCTGTAAAAGCAGTTCTTTTTTGACAACACCTAAGATAACAGTTTTGAGGGCTCTTACACATTAAAAGCGTTTGGATTCTATGAATCCAAATTCTATGAATTTTCTCCCTGGTTTATCAAATGCAGGTCTCAAGCTTCTTAAGCTCGGACTACAGTTTTAGCAGAATCAAGAAAAAGTGCTTTATGACAATTTTTGTTGCCTCTACTTTCAAAGCAGTTTCCCAGGGACCGGCCCTCCTTCCTGCCGTCCAGAACTTGGGGGAAGTCCAAGGTTTCTGGAGTTCTCTGCTTTGGGGAGAAGCAGCCATCTAACACCCCCTCCCTGATGGCCTCTTTTTCCTTATCATCTGACTCATTTGTTGTCTCTTAACAAAGACTCAACTCCAAGAGGACAGGGGCTGAGTCTGTTTACTCAGTTCCCTAACCCAGAGCACTGAGCACATACGTGCTTGGTACTCAGTAATACTTACCAATCTGTCAAGGAACCTGGTGATAAGAGTCTGTGATTTCAGGAATGACCCTGGGAGATTTTGTCTTTTATTATATGCAATACTTTCATGCATATAAAAATCTGGTGACACACACCTGTCATTCCAGTACTCAGCCACCGAGGCTTGAGCCAAGCTTGCACCACTGAGTAGCTTAGCAAGAGCCTGTGTCAAAATAAAAATTAAAAACAGAGTACATATGTATATAAGATATCCTTTAATCACCGTTAGAATTTCCAGAGCCCCTAGGAATAACTTCAAGGACCTGGAGTCCTAAGCATACAGCTGTAGGCTTGACCCTGCACCATCGATGTAAGCCTGGCCAGCACCACTTCATTTCCCTGAGCCTTGGTTTACCTGTGTAGCAGGTGAGGGAAATAATACCTCATCTCCTCCCCCACAAGGCAGCATCAGAGAAAGATGATGATGTATGCAGACAAACATCCACGCTCCAAAGGGCCACGCACACGCAGACCACAGCTGCCACTGTAATGATACGTGGTCAAGAGAACAGAGGCCCTGCTGCCTGTGACTTTAGTCACCTTGATCACCCCAGTCTCCCGTCACCAGGGTTACAGCAAGAACCTTGCCTCCCTGGCATCTGAAGTGCGTCTCACGTGCAAGGAACCCCTGGGAGGAATTGCCCCGAGTGTAGACTGCCCACCTGCTCCTGTGCCTATAGGTATGAGATTGGGGCAGGGTCGGCTCAGCGACTTGCAGAATGTGTGCCTTTTGCCTTGAGAGTTGTGGCCTTGACTCAGAATCTGTTCTCTACCAGACTCTGTGAAGCTGTCTCACACTAACACTGCTTTTCCTTTAGATCAGATTCAGTTTTCAACTGTGTTGGAAACGTTTTGTCTCTGACCTTCCTTTTCTGTTCAGTGTTCTAAAAACAAAGGAGGAGCCTGGGGACTGACCCAGGACCCCCTGCTCCAATCAATGAAAGGGGCTTCTGATCACCATGGTAACGTAACACCCAGCACCCTCAACACCCTTCCCTTCCGCCATGCCGCTGCTGCTTATGCAGTTAGGGTCACCACTCCCTGCCCAAGCACCAATCACAGACTCAAATAACTTTGCACTTCAAAATTCAGAAAGGGCGCAGTGCTCCTCTGCCGTGAACTACACCAGCAGCAAATTGTGCAGATCAGAAATGTATGACTCAGTGAATACCGCGCCTCTTCCTTCTCTGTTCTTCTATCCTGAGTGTGGTGCCCTTAGTACTCTAAGTTACCCTTTCAGTTTCCTGAAACCTATATATGTGGAGTCCTACAGTGTATTTTTTTTTGAGCTTTCTTTTGCTCAGTATGATGCTTGTGAGGGACATCCATGTTCATGGAGCTGTGGTTTGATTTTTGCTGCAGTACAAGAGTTCGTGCCATGAAACCAGCATCTTACTGAGTCCATCCCATTGTGGGTGACAGCTGGGCTGTTTACAGTCTGAAGTTACTGTGAATGATGCTGCCACAAAGTTCCCAGCGCCTGTCACTTGGTAAACACAGCCATGCTTTCCTGGTAGGATTGGGATGGCTAAGAAGGCACGCCTGCACCTGCAAGGCTTAGTAGATAATGCCACGCCTCTTCCTGCAGTTCCTGGGACCCGGTACGGGGAGACTGTCCGCCAGCCCTCACCAGTTCATGACACGGACATACCTTAATTTAGCTACTCAGGTGAACGTGGTGTTGGAGCTCAGTATGTTTCTGATTTGCACTTGCTGATCACTAGTGAGGCCGAACATGTGATTAGCAGTGGGGCTGGGCACCTTGTCCTGTATTTCTTGGCCACTGGAATATTCTTCTTTGTCAACATCTTTAAGTCTTATCCCTTTTCCTGTTGGTTAGAAGTTTTGGATATAAATCTCATACCAAGAAATGTTAAACTTACTTATTGACATGAGTAATTCAGCTGAATCCTAATTCCTCTGTAATTTTCTGTATGTACAATCACATCACTTGTGAATATTAACAGTTTTGTTTCTTCTCCTCTAAATCTTACATTTTGTGTTTCTGGGCAGGACCTGCAGGACTGCCAGTGCAGTGGAGGAGCAATAGTAGATGTCCTTGGTTTATCGTCAATCTCAAACATTTCACCTTGGATGCTTTCTGCCGGTGTCCACTGACAACCCAAGACCCCACTCCTGTTCACCCTGGTGTGCTAAGACTTTCTCATGCATGGGTGTTGAGTTGTAATAAATGTTTTCCCCGCGTCTACTGGGTTCATGTTATTTTCTTTCTTTATTCTATTAATGCACTAAATTGACAATGGTTGACTTTGCAAGTGCTTACCAGCTGCTGTAGTTTGCATGTCTTCTAAATCACATGGGTTGGAGGCTTGGCTCCCAGCCCAGGGTCCTATTGGGAGACCATGGAACCCTCGAGAGGTGAGTCCCAGGAAGCGGAATTTAGGTCCCTGACTGTGTGCCTTTGAAGGAGATGCGGGGCCCTGATCCCTTCCTGTCTCTTTCACTCTACCTCCTGGCTGCCATGAGATGAACGGGCTTCTTCTACCACGCACTCCCATCATGATGTTCTGGGCCACCACAGGCCCGAATCGGAAGGGTCAAACAGCCATGGACTGAAGCCTCTGAAGCCAGGAGACAGAGTAAACGTTTCTTCCTTTTAAACTGATTATCTCAGGTATTTTTTTCACCATGATGCAAAGCTGACTAAAATACCAAACTTGCATTCTTAAATTAAACCCAGCTTAGTCATGATGTGCAATCCTATTTCTACACTGCAGAACATGATTTATTAAGATTTGGCTTTGGACTGTTTCATCTGTGTTTGTTCGCTCATGAAGTTAACCTGCAGCTTTCTTTTCTCATGAAGTGTGAGGTCTTTGTCCAGTTTTAATATCAGGCATCTGCTCCCACGGGCAGTTGAGAAGTGATTCTCTTTTTCTGTTCTACAGAGCCATTGTTTAATTTTAGATTATTCCTTCCTTAAATACCTGTTAGATCTGCTAGTGGTGAAGCCATCTGCTCCCGGGGATTGGGGTTGGGGGGAGCAGTGTTAAATTCTGGATTCCGTTATTTTAATAGGAATAGCCTGATTCTGATTTTTTAAAAAATGTTATTCTGGTAGGTTGTATTTTTCTTGGAATTTGTCCATTATTGTCTTTATTTCTAATGTTTTGCAACAAAATTAGCCATCATATCCCCCACTGTGAAACCCACAGTACCACTTCCCTTCGGAATCCTGATGTGGGGCCAGGGAGTTAGCTCAGTGGCACAAGCAAGCACAAGGTGGCGAGTTCGATCCCTGGTACCAAATTAATTAATTAAAACCTGATGTTTTTATTTGCAATTCCTTTCCTTTTTCTCTTCCTTCCCTTTCCCCCTGCAATAGTCTTAAAAGGAATCTATCAATTTCACAAGAATTCCTTTTGGTTTTATGCAGTTCCCTGACTGAGTGCTGTTACCCAGCCGTAGTGCGCATTCCCTGACTGCTGCCCTGATTTTTAATCGTCCTCTTCCCAAGCCCTGAGTCCCAACCACTCCATCAAGGAGCAAGCTCACGCCTCAGCCAGTTGGATTTCCTGCGCAAAGCAGGAAAAGATACCCCAGCCCCCTAAGCCCGCTGTGGCCCCCAGGCCTCCTTACTCTCTGCTCTGAATCCTTCGTAATGTTTTCAAGACGATCGCTCTTCACTACTTTAACCAGATTTTCTAAGCACCCTAAATTGCCTCCCCGCGTTGCACCTCCAGGTCTCGCCCGTGTGTGCGCCTGTGTGTTCCGGGGCGCCAGTGCTAAGACCCATCTGCTGGAGCCCGAACGGTGTCCTTTCCCTGCTCCTCACCGGGCTCAGCTGGGCGATGACCGAACCCCGAGCGCCCCTGGGCCCCACGCACTGGCTCTGCCTGTTTTCTCCTGTAAGGATCCACCACCTCTGCTTGCAGAGTATTTTTGGACTCTGCTAATGCCGTTGACTGCCGTTCACTCCAGTGACCGAGTCTTCGCTGATTGACTTTCATGAATATGTGTTCTTGTAAGTAGGTCCTCAAGTGAGAAAGAGGCTTTGCCCTTAAACTGAGGAACCCTGAGCCAGTGGTGCTCTCTGCTGCCTCAGTGACAGGCAGGGGAAGGCAGTGGTTTGAGTTCACCCCTGGGGTTGTAAAAGCCACTTCTGAAATGGGAGCCAGGCTGAAAGTGGGTTCCCACCACCACCCAAACAGGAGCACAGGGCAGCACCGCATCGGCCCGACCAAGGAACTTGGCTCTGGTCTCAGTTCACTTTCTGCACTAGGGACACAATCCTACCTTTCTAGGGCTGCTGTTGTATTAGGGTCACTCTCCCAGTCTGTCTCATGCTCTTACAAGCTAGTGAGTAAACTTAAGAAGCAGAAATTCCACTGGGCACAGCAGCACACAATTGCAATCCCAACAACCTGGGAGGCTGAGGCAGGAGGATTGTTAGTCTAAGGCGAGTCTGGGGGCAACATAGTGAGATATATATATATATATATGTATATACATATATAGCACAAGTGCCAGGAATTCCCAAAAAGTAACAGCAGATTCCACAGTTAGAGACGTCAGTCTCACCGTGAGCCATAGCATAACCACGTTACTGTTTTCAAGATAGTAGAAAGGTCAGGAGGTTTCTGCTCGTGTCCTTGCCTCCCTTATTCCTGTGAAGCACTGCTGTTGCTGGCAGATTCCTGCCACAGCCTAGATGGGAGTTCCCCTAGGTGCTGGTGCCATCTCCGTACCTGTGCATACACAAAATGAAACAGTTCATAAGGACCAAGCAAGCCCGGCCTGGCGGTGCACACCTGTAATCCCAGCCCCGGGAGGCTGAGGCTGGAGGATGGAACTGAGCTCAAGGCCAGGCTAAACTATGCAGCAAGGCCCACTTTTAAGGGGAAAAACCCTAAAATGAATACATAAAGACCAAACAAAAGAAATACCATCGATAGCTCCATCAGCACCCCACAGCCCAGTGCTAATTACCTTTACTTTCAGCATTTTTCTACCTCATTCCGGTCAGTATGGAGAAAGGACACCTGAATTCTTGTTGCCACTATGAATTTTACAGTAAAAACCGGTCTTTCCTTAATTTCCCCTTTCTTTGAGTGTCGAAAGGACTGAATATTTCTCATGAAATTCTTACTGACTGCACTTCTGCTTTCTTTAAAAGTTTGCTCAGAATTTTGGGGTACAATTTCAAAATGAATGATTTCTATCTCTTGCAGTTTTTTTCTGGGTCCTGGTTCTAATTAAGTCGATGATTCAATATGGTAGCTTTAGAAAATAATATATGCTATTGCCCACTGCTTAATTCTATTTTGTGTAAACCAAGTTTAAAGAGCTCCAGTGGGTGAAGTAGAGAAGGCAGGTGGCCTGAATTCCTCTTCCTCCTTGGACGCGGTTTTTGCACCCTAGCATTAAATACCCATTTTATTTAATGATTACTTTATAGCTTCTGCCACAGTCCACACTGCTCATAGCCCTATGCACTTGGTTCATGTTGAAAGGGATCAAACAGTGGTCAGGATTTTTAACACGATTGCCTGAGTCTGTGAATGTGTTTCTCTCTGTCTCATGCCCCTGACCGCTCGTGTTTTTTACCTAGTGAGTGTGGTTTGGGAATCAATCTCTGGATAATCTGAGATTTTATCTCTCATCATGGCACACAAGCAGGTCTGTGGTTTTGCGAGTTTTCAGCTTAGAAACCTCGAGTTGAGGGCTCCTGAAATTCTCACTCTTTCTCGCAGGGCTTCACCCCTCTACTGGTCTATTTAGTCCTCCTTCTTGACTTTACAGTGCCCAACAAGTGCTGGGCATGGTTCCAAGTGCTGGGAATGAGGAAAAGTTCTGGTGAGCTGCCTGCCCAGTGGAGCAGAAAACCAGCTCATGACAAACAGACAAACGTGTACGGTGCAAATCCTGAAGAAAAATAAAGTCTACAGTGAGGGGCAAAGTCCACTCAGGAAAGGGCTGTGGAGGAGAGAATGATACACACCCCGCCTTGCCTTGTGTTACCATCAGAAAAGCCCCCTACTGTCCTGTCTGCCTGAAGCTTTTCACACAGCACACACCCTTTTCCCTGGAGACCCCAATGATGGTGACAATATCTGTCTCACCGGGTGTCCTTATTAAATAGGGGAGCTTGTGCTCCCACGAGGCCAAACACAAATGTAGGACTGGCACAATTTTGATCAAGCACAGCAACTCTTCTCAGGGTTCTCCATGCATTGCATGTGGCTGATCAGCTGTTTCTGGAAATACCTCGAACATTCTGAGGCCCCCGCTGGCCCGAAGCAGTCTGCATCTTGCTGGCCAGTGCTCTGAGGGGTCTTCCTAAAAGCCATCCTGGTATTGCTCTGCAGAACGTCAGAGGACAGGGCCCTGGACAGCTGCTTTATTGGCTGGGTCCAGTTTCCAGTTAGTATATAAGCACAGCCCCGTCCACACTGCCAGGCAACTTTGACACGTTTCACATCAGAGAGAGACAGAGAGAGAGAAAGGTCCCCTCACACAGCCCCACAGACTCCCCAGTAACTCCTCCTGGGTACCAGATTCCACAGCAGAACCCGGAGCCAGCCTGGGAGACGCCTCTGCAGCTAACTAAAGGGGCTTCTTCATGGTCCCAGATAAATGCCAGGCTTGGCAAAAATAAAAACAGGCGCCTTTGCTTCAGACCTACGGAAAAGCTCCCAATGGTTATGGGTGCATCTGCTTATGTTGAAGGAAAAGCCCAGTTTCCTTTGGGCAAAGGCGTCTTAAGAAGGTGACGAGCTGTGTCCAGTGAGTACATCATGCAAGAGGCTCCTTCGACCTAGAAAGAGCAAGCAAACCATGCTCATCGGAAGGCGAGGCCCACTGCCAGAGGGAATGCTCCGAGGTGCATCCTGCGGAGACATTTCTTCTGTAGACACCCTGTTATTGCGGTTTCTGCTAGAAGCCAGGAGGGTTCCAGGAATGCTCTACTCTGATGAAAGTCAAACAGTGCATAGGACAGAGACCTGGGATGAAAGCCGGCTCCTCCTCGGCGTGCAGAAATCACAATCTACACACACCTGGTGCTCTCTCCCTGGACGGCAGGCACTCACCTCCCTTGGCCTGCTGCCCCTGGCCTCCTGGGGAACTCAGTGGTGTGCACTGAACATGCAGGAAGCCAGAACGCCCTGCTGGGTTATCAGGTTCACTGTCCTGGGCCAGGGTCTCCCCCGCCCCTGGTTTTTGCGCTTGAATCCTGGCCTGTCTGGCTGTAGGTACATACACAGCCAGTGGTTAAGCTAAGAGAGGTCATGAGGTTGGGACCCTGACCCTGCTCACTGATGTCCTTCGAAGAGGAGGAGATTGGGATGAGCATGGGAGGACACGGGAAGACATGCCATCTTCAAGACAAGGATTTCCAGCCTCCAGAATATGAGGCAGTCACTTTGTGTAAGTGATGTGCACGCCCATGTTTAGAGCTCACACGAGTGGCCTGACAGCTCAGTCTTAGAAGGAGCCCAGATGTCCATCGACAGATGGACACATAAAAAGTGTGCTGTTTATGTACCGTGGCGCACCACTCTGCGTGAAGCAGCCTGCGCTCGAGTCATCTGTAGGCAAATGCAGGCACCTTGAGACCAGAACGCTGTGAAGTAAATCAGACACACGAGTTTAAATATCATGTGGTTTCTCTTATATGAGAAACCCAATGTGTAAATAAACGAAATAGCAAATCAAAGATAGGTCACAGGAACAGTGAGGTAGATCTTTTGCAAAAGGAAAGAGGACCAAGAGCTGGAGGGGGTGGGGGGGAAATGGAAAGAGAGTGGAAAAGGAAGGAAGAGGTGTCCTGCGTGTGCACCACCTCCCCCACGAGGAGGGGAATCACTGTGTGCTGCAAATACACAGCAATAAAAATTAAAATAAATGAACGAAGTAAAAATGGCTGATGGTTAAGCCCCCATCTGTGGTTGTCTCAGTAACCCCAGCGGACACTGAGGCCTATGCAAGGGGCCTGGGGCAGAGCGGGTTCTCACTTCTCAGGGGAAATCTTCAGGTTCTGGGAAGTGGGCCGCACTTCCTGGAATGCCTTCAGGGATGGGACCAGAGCCACTGGGCTCTGCCTCTTCCTCCCCGCCCTCCTCACCTTGCCTCCGCTGTCTCCTTTCCTCTTCCTCTCCCTCTGGCACCCATCTGGGAAGGCTTATGAGGTCTCCCGCTGCTGTATTCTTCCTTTCACATCCACCTCTTTGCCTCAGGGCCATTTTTCCTAGACCCAGCCTCTTTGCAGAGTGACTATTTCCCTTCTAATCTCTGCCCCCAAATTCCTGAAAATATCTTCCTTCCTTCCTTCCTTCCTTCCTTCCTTCCTTCCTTCCTTCCTTCCTTCCGTCCTTCCTTCTGTCTGTCCTTCGGGCCTTTCTATAACGCAGCACTGCAGGCGGGAAGTTGGCTCCAAACATCTTGGACCTCCCAGGGCTGCCCGGGAAACCCCATCCTTACATTTTGCCTCTTTGTCATCCCTGTGAGCCTCTCCCCTCCCAGTACAAGGGATTGAGCCCAAGGCTGAGGCGCTGTGCTCCCTCCCCAGCTGTTTTTCATTTTAATTTTTTGGCTACAGCGTCTAAATTACTAAATTGCCCAGTTCAGCTCTAATTTGCAGTCCTCCTGCCCCAGCCCCACAGGGAGCTCGGGTTACAGGACCACACCATCACACCCAGCTCTGATTGCCCCACTAACCCTTAAACATTACCAAAGTCACACAGCAGGGTGCCTCAGTGTGGGTCCCCCTGCCTGCCCTGCCCTGGCCCCTCTGATCCCCAGGCTGCTGAACTTGCCTCTGGACAGAGGTCTTGAGCTGGGTTCCAAAGCCCTCATCTCCTCTGCTCATCCTCCTGGAAATTGTGCCCTGGGAGCAGCTTTGCCAGCCCTTACACTCTCTCCCTTTCCTCCTCTCTGTGCTGTTTTACCCTATTTTCCAGCCACGCTGTCTGTTCCTCACTGCCACAGCACCTGCCTGTCCCTTTGGGGAGTCTCCGTAGCCTTTTTGAGGTCTCCCATCCTTGACCCCTGAGGAGAAGCCCTCATCTGCCCGGCTTTCCCAAGAAGCCTGCAGGTTGTTCATTTGTCTTGGGTTATAACTCTCATGGCACCCCACTCGGCCTTTTTTAGGGTTGTGTCACCGCAGGACTCTCCATTGAGGACCTCAGGTAGAAGCCCCCAACTTGTCAGGGTCATTGCCCTCCACCCAGCTCCGGTCCCTGGCCACCCTGAAGGCCCACTTCTGTCTCTCCTGAGCCATCAGTCGAGCTGGTCTTTCATGAGGGGCTGCCTCAAGGGTGGGCTGTTGCCAGATTTCATCCGCGGTGGGGTGGGGATCCGTACTTTGTTCCTTTGGTAGGTGACAGAATGACATAAGCTCCTTCAAGGAGCTGCACCGTATTGTATTATTTTACCTGGTGGTCAGCAGTGCATGTTCTGGTCCAGCGAGACTGGGTCACATGGGTCATGCGACAGCTGCAGGTTTAACCGTTTCAGGAGCTATCGGATGCCTCCCAGTCCTGCAAGGATGTCACACTGTGTCACATCCCTGTCCCCAGTGGGGGAATATTCTGGTCTCTCTACATCCTGTCAACAACTGCTTGTCTCTGTCTTTTTCATGATGGTTACCTTGAGGGGCAAAATAGTATCTCAACATGTTTTTGTTGTGCTAAAATATATAATAGCAGAACATTGACCACTGTAGTCATTTTGGGTGCACAGTCCAAGGGCTGTGAGTACTCACATGGTCGTGCCTTCAACCCCACCATCCACTTCTAGGACTTTGTCCCTTTCCTCGACTTCAGCTCTGTCCCCATTAAACCCTGTCTCCCTGTTCCCTCCTTCCCTGGCCCCTGGCAACCAGCACTCTCCTCTCTGTCTCTGCAAACTTACCTGATCTCTCCTCTTTAGAAGAGAAATCAGTGCTGTGTGCCCAATCCTCTCTAGGGCCAAGTAATATTCCATTTTGGATGCTGATGAAATTCCACTCATGTATCAAAGCACACTGCATTGCTCCCACATTTTGGCTACTGGGAATAATTTGCTATGGTCTAGGTGTGCAAGCTCAGTGTAGCTTTGGTTTGCACTTTTCTGTGGTCTAAAAACACTGAGCACGTTTTTTCTAGACTCAGTTCACATGGATTTTCAAATTTTCAAGTGTGCAGTCAACTCCCATGTTCATCGCCCCACCCCACGCCATGAGTGCCTGGTCCTCAGTCAGTCTTTTGCTGCTTTGGTTTTGTGCTCGTTTTTAATCTGGGCAAACTCAGAAGCAGGCTGGAGTCTCCCACACTGGCATAGGGCCCCCCTTGAGGACCCATCTGCCAGGCCACACCTGTCCCGTGTCTGGCTGGCCTGTGGTAGGGGACTCCTGAGCTTGCTCCATGTGATTCTGTTTGCTGTTGTCATGGTTGTTGTGTTTTATCACTGGGGAGGGGTTAGGGGTCCGGAAAAGGCACCTCCAGTCCGCTGCCTGGTAGCTGAGTGCCTGGCTGCCAATTTGGGGAGCACAGGGCTCTGCACCCCGGATATTTTCCCCTGGGTGTCCTATTGCTGCGTGTCCCAGGCCACTGTGCCCAAGCTCAGCAGCTCCAGCTCTAGTTTCTCCAGCAGCAAGGGCCGCGTCACCGAGAGACCCCACTACCTCTCCAGCAACCTTTCTGGCTCCCCAGCCCTGCTTCTGGAGATGTTCCGGGTGCAAACCCACCAGCCGCTCTGCACTTCCTGTGCAAAGCTTGTGGCTTTGAGGCGTCAAGCCCAGCACCCACCTGGGCTCTGGCCTTTGGAATCTGTTCTCCCTTTCCCTCTCCCTGCCACAGGCCTGGGAAGTTTACCGAGTTTTGTTTCGGCTTTCTTGAGGATGCACAGATGTCCCTCTTCGCCGTTTACCTGGGATGCTTTCTAGTGGTGTTTTGCATCGAATATGGAAAGTCATGTTTAACTCAACTCTGCTAATCCTCCTCAGAATGGAGGGGACATTGCTATGGTTACCTACCAGGCAGAGTAACCTGTCCCCACCTGCAGGGGACCACGTGGAACTGGGCTCTGGGTTCCCCACTGTGGAGCCCGCACCTTAACGACTGTATGTAGACACAGCAGCTCTGGCACAGGTGGCCCTGCAGCATGGCCTAGTGAGGCTGGGAGGGGAGAGATGGCCAGCGGGGATAAGGACCACTCTGATGGTGGCTGGGTCCTTGTGCAGGAGGAGGTGCACACCAGGCCAGCAAGGCGTGCAGCTGTGAGTGCTCCAGAGAGCAGTGTTCTTGAGGGTTCTGTGACTTTCTTTACACAGAGCCTCAACATGCTTCCTTCTGGACCTTTCCTCCTTTATTTTTTTCTCAGTGCTGGAGACTGAAGCCAGGATCTTCCCATGGAGCTACCTCCTCAAGTCCTTTTATATTGTATCTTTTTTTGAGACCAGATCTTGCTACGTCACCAGGCACAGCTCAAATGTGACATCCTCCTGCCTCAGCCTCCCAGACTGTTAGGATTACAGGGATGTGCCAATCCCAGCTGCCACCTGCAAAGGAAGTTAGAGAGCGCTGTCAGGCTTAGTCCTGAAGGGCAGTGACACCCAGGGCAGGCTGAGCAGGGCAAAGGGAAACTCCAGAGTTTCCAACTAAGACACCAATGAAGGCAAGACAAGAATGAAACAGCTCCAGTTCAGAGGGAAACCGAAAGACGGCCTCACAAGGGCACGCAAAGAAGGGGAAATCAGGTTCGCTCATTTAAAGCTTCACGATAGGACTGCTGATTCAAAACCTTAAAACTACCCAGCACGTGAAAGTACGGCCAGGATGCCCCAGGCCCTGTGCCCCACCCCTGCTGTCCCCCCACCTCCTCAGCCTGGCCCGGGCACAGCTGTCATTACAGTGCTGGGTGCCAGTGGCCGAGCTGCCCAAGACGCCTAGCACAGTGCTCTGGCCTTGTTTCATTTTAGTTTAAAATCATAGCATTCGAGAACTTGCTTTCTCCTTCACTGCAGGTGTCTTTCTGCATCAGAAATACAGATTCACCAGGCTGGGGGTAATGGCCCATGCCTGTAACCACAGCACTGGGAGGGCTGAGGCAGAAAGATGGCAAGGTAGAGCTCAGCCTGGGAAACTGAGTGACTTAGTGAGACCCTGCCACAAAATCACAAACATTAAAAAGACTAGACACATAGCTCAGTGGGGAGGCTCTGGGCTTAATCCTCATACCCAAAAAAGGAGTTGTGTGGGGAGAAATTCAACTCTAGCTCAGAAAGTGATCCCAAGTAAAGTACCCTGAGCGTACTCCGTGAGCCCCGGGGTGATGTAAATGACCATGAGTGCAGCTTGCTGTCATCCGCAGTCACCTGTTTCTGCCACACAGCTGGCACGGCGTTGATTTGCACATCACAGAACAGCGCTATCAGCAGATCTGAAGAAGGATGCAAAATCACTAGCTAATTTTAAAGCTGAAGTTCCTCACCATAAATGTGTCAAGTGTCTCTGCTGCAACTGGGAGAAAGTGGCCACTGGGGAAGTCTGGGTGATATCCACTAATTGCAGATGACCACAAAGTATCACCACAAGAAGGAATGGAAAAGCTGGTGGAAATCATACATTTTTATCATGCATCACAAGAGAGACTTAATGTACATCCTACAAGAAAGACCAAGCTACCATTAAATTCTCCAGTCTGAAAACTGTTGAAGGCAAATCATGAAGAAAACCAAAAAGACCAAAGGAGTGGGGATTATGAAAGAAGAGACTGTCATCTTGCGAGAAATACACCGCGGAGAGATTCTGTGATTCCTTACAGGTGTCAAAAATTTCTTTTTGTTCTAGCGGCTGTAGACATTTAGCAGGGCAGGATTCATTTCTCCCACTCTGATGAATCATGTCATGCCAGAGGTTCAGCCGGGGGCGATTCTGCCTGCTCTCCCCCAGGGAACGTTTGACAGTGTCTTGAAACATCCCCGACTGTCAGATCTGGGGGTGGGAAGGAGGGGGTGCTGCTGCTGTCGGTGGGCAGAGGCCACACACAATGGACCGGCAAACGGAGTGACCCAGCCCCAGGGTCAGTAGTGGCCTCGCTTCTCAAGGGGTCGGTCGGGTCTTGTTTCCTAGCAGTTCCAAAACTCTATGCAGTCACTCAGAAGACACATCTGAAACTGAGCTTGCATTGTTTTCTCGTGAAACATAACCAATGATTCTAAACCACTCTAATCCCTCCCCCAAGAAAAGCAAGAGTGAAAATGTTTAAGAGAGTGAGTTCACGTGTAAAGCCACAGATGAGGTTAACCAATAGCACCCTATCTTCTAGGCAGGAAAGAGATGGCTTCAGACCCCAGGGTGCGGGGGAGGCTTCCAGGTAACTAAGACATACACACCCTCAACTCACTGTAAACCTGCTGGGAGCATGAAAGTCCAAGCTGTGTCCTGAGCCGAGACCACAGGCTTAAAGGGCAGGCATAGGATCTCAGCTTTTCCTGTGGTTAGTAGCCTGGTAAGATACACACACATGTATATGGGTTGCATGCATGCACTAGATTCTTAGGAATAAAATCCAGCTCAAGGCTCAGATGACCCCCCAAAATCATCCTGTGTTTTTCGTGGAGTGCACACTGGTCTCAGATCATGCCTGAGTCCTGCTTGGCTCCTACCCAGTTCCCAGCAGGCCCACACCCCAGCTGGCACCCATAGCCTGGGTTTCCCCCTGCAGAGCCTGCTAGATGTCTCCTTGCCTCATCCAGAACCTGCCCAGAAGGTTGCCATTGTCTGAGGGCGCCCTGGGATGTGCTGGGAGCCCCCTGGGGAAACACAGCAGGGTGTGCATAAACTGTTTATGTAAAGGCAGGTAGTAATAGACTGTGGGTAAGCCAGGAGTTGCATGGATGATAAATTGAGACCTCAGAATAATCCTGCGGTCACCACAGAATGGAGATGATGGGAATTCTCAGCAGGAGGCCTCCACCCCAGGAGGGCCAACGCCTCCAGGGTGCAGTTCTACTGGGACAAGAAAACCCCTCCTGGGGCTGGGGAATGAATCCAGTCTGTCCCTACCTGGCCTTACTTTGCAAGGTGGAACATTTTCCTCCACCCCAACCAGCCACAGCAGCTTTGCAGCAGTTTACCTGTCAACAGCAAAGGTGAACAGGCTGGGGGCAGGCGGGGGTGGGGGCCTGCAGCATGGTAACCATGAGGGAGAGGGGTAAATGAAGGGTTCCCTCCAAATCAGCTCAGCTCTGCCCTCTGAGGTCCCATTAGACACGAGAGATCTGCTGATCCTTATTTATTTTTAAGCTATCATAAACTAAATGATTGGTTCCTATTAATGACCCTAATTATTCAGCTCCTCTTTCTAAATACTGGTCTTTCAGCACGCTCAAAGTGGGTGGCTTTAATTAGGCCTAATTGTAGATACGTCACATCCAAATATACACCCTTACTTGATGATTAACAGGGCTTGGAATTTAGATCACTAAGTAGGGGTTTGTAATGGGATGATGGTGCACACCAAGCCGAAACGCATCCAAGAAATTTCTTTTCTGATAACCCAGATGGTGAAGCGGGCTGTTTGTCAAAGTCCTTTGGGATGTAGCCCAACCAGCCCCGGGGGGTAAGTTCTCAGGAGTGCTGTCAAGTTCCCTGTAAGCCTGTCTCCTTCATGCTCTGAGCTGGAGGTGCTGGTTTTGATTTTCTTTTGGATCTGTAATCCCAGATGTCGTCTTCTAACATGGCAAAATGATTTTATCATACAGAAGCGCTAATCCTAAGTAAAAACAAACAAGGCACCCATCTCCTCTGCAGAATCCAACCTCTCCCTGCAGCCCTTCACTAGGTATCAGCGCTGTATCGCTGACAGTACATTCTTCAGTCCTTACCCAGCCCAGTCCAGTGTTGCTGTTTCTTACACATCAGAGCTGAGGACATGGAGCTCTGAAATGCTAGGTGGCCAGTGCAAGGTCTCGCAGGGCAGAAGTGGGCTTCAGGCGAATCTGCTTAGGATTGCATCTGCAAGAATGGAAATCTGATTTCTTCCCACAGCCTGGTTCAGGCCACATGGGCGGGGCAACCTACAACCAATCAGAGGCCGCCCTTACACACCGTGACTCAGCCCTGTACCTGCCCACCTCCACTAGCCCATCTGCAGTGCACATGCACCCTCCACAGTCACAGAGGACTTGAAGCTATTCCCAAGGCCTGTCACATGCCACCTGGCTGCACACTGCCTCCTGCGCTGGCTGGTCACAGCATGACAGCACAACACCATCGGGGAGTTGGTCTGACCACTGCTGGAGCGGTCAGAGCAGACCTCAGCCCGCTGAGGCGCAGTGGTGAAAAATCAACGCCTCATAGAAGTCCTTTCCGGAGTAGGGACTCTGTTCTTTTTAACGAACTCTCCCTGTGAGAATATGTTCCTGGCTCTCTGGTGTGCAGACTAAACTGCTCCGTGACAGGGGAAGAGAACTGGCAGGAGATGGGGCTGAAATTCAACCTCATTTCCAGTGTGACCTAAGTTAAGTCCCATTCCTTGACCTTCACTTTCTGCTGCATGGAAAAGGATGTCTTTTTTCCCAAGGTCAGAGGTTGGAAAGTTCGAGAATCAAGACATGGTCACAGTCTATGGACAGATGTGACCATTAGGTATTTAGTCACCCAGCATAGCTGACTTGGGCAAAGTAGGTAGGTTAGGGTTAAAGGCTTTAGAATCAGGAATGTCTCCCTCACGATTTGCTATGTGGCTTCAAAAAACATTATTGGGCCTCTCTGAGCTGTGAATGACTTGCATCTGTAAAAGTGGGCTGTGGTTTTTAAATTGTTGGGTTGCCATGGAGTTTAAATGAATGGATGGTGATAAAGTGTCTTCATGTAATAAGCCCCAATTGAAAGGCAAAAGGAGAAGCCATTTTTATGTGAGCATTTTTTCTCAAGTTAGGATATTCTGATAGGATTGCATTAGCAAAGCCGCTGTAGTTGTCAAATACTCTATAGCAAACCAACAATGCAGAGAAGTAGCTGACCCGGAGCCCCACGAACACCCCACACCAGTCTTGGGCCAGGGCAAGGCCAAATATGGGAAACACAGAAGGCTAATGTCAGAGCCTTAAACTCCTAGGCTCTTAAACTGCATAATTTAAAGCTTTGTTTTTTAAGATCTAGCTCTAGCCATCCTGTTTCTCTCCTCACTGATCACAATCCCCTTGGAAATCAACTCACCGCAAGTGGACTTTCCTTGGTATAATGATCCTCTGGGAGTCAAGTCATGGGAGGAGAGACTCGCATGTCCCATTTTGCAGAAAAAGAAAACAGTGTCTTCACAGGTTGTATTCCATCGCTTAGGGACAAACACAAAGCAAATACAAGCTGGGTGGGGTGAAATTGTCCTGATGCCACCAATAAGACAACTGAGAAGAGGAAGATGAATGTAACAGAAAGTGAAAAGAAGACTCAAGCGGGCAACAACCATGGTGGCACGGTCCGTGAGGCTGCCCCCCACCCCTGCCCAGGGTCCCTGAGCCCTCCCACCGGAAGCCAACACATTCCAAGCAGACACACCACAGTGTTTCCGCTCAAGTGCTCCAAGTCTTGTGCAGAGAGCCTGAGTGACTTCTAGATGGACATGGAGCCTAGTCTCCTGCTGGAACAACCCTCCTGGAGACGAGAGGCTGATGCCCAGACATCATTGCCTCCATAATGTACCCCCCCCCCCCGGTATTCTGCGATCCCATCCCATTTGCCCACATCCTTTGCTTTGAGCCAAGGTAGTAGCTGCACAAAGTTGGCATCCAGCATGCTCACCCCAGCCTTCCTGCTGGCCTCCATGCAGTGAGAAATCCCACTGCCAACCTTTGAAACCGGCGGACTCCCTTAAGACTCTCAGTCTCCAGCCCTCATGGTCCCAAAATGATTCATCCGGCCCCCATCACTCTACTATGAGTCACATGCCATGGAAGAGGTCGCCTCTTGTGTACACAGGAACGGAAGGTTTGCAGGTTTCTGGGATTTTATTTTATTGAGAAGAGAACAGGGCAGACATAAATTCCACATTTTTCCCAAAGTGAATTGTACAAAACAGAAGAAAAGAAAGAAAAAGAAAAAAGAAAATTCACAGCAGGCAACATCTGCGTGAGTCGGTCTCCAAGGACCCTGTGTAAATGGCTGTTGATATAAATAGATTTGCTTTTAAACAAAGACAGATGTCCCAGACCCAAATACTAAGAAAACACACCAAACAGTTGAGTTCAAAGACATCTTGGCTTTCGAGTCTTCCCCCGTAAGCGAATCTCCATGGGGCTATGACGAGGACGGGTGGAAGGAAGAACATTCTGTTCCCCAATAAAAAGGCGCAGTGCTGGGGCGCAGGTGTGGGGGCACCCATAGCCCCGGGGGTGGCCACTCACCTCCCTCAAGCTACTCTGGAGGCCTGAGCCATGAGCCGCCCTGTTACTCATGCACTGATTTATTTGAAGACTCCTCTGCCCAGACCGCCTCGGAATATTATTTCAGGAAGAATTAAGTGGGAGGCATTGGGAAATAAGTCACGGGAAACTGGGGGTCAAGTGAGGCTGACATGCATGAGAGAAGGACCCAGAAGCAAGCAAGATTCTGAAGCGGGAGCAGACGGCGGGGGGGGGGGGAACCCCACCACCTCTCATTTCTCCACGCAAGGACCCAGAATCAGAAAACAACCAGCAAATCTGCATTTTATGTGGGAGGAACGTTCTCAGGGAGATTATGAAGGAAACCGGAACCGGGCAGAAAGTGTTGTTTATAAATAGAAAAATGCACACTTGTTGGTGTGGCAGACACGGTGCTGGAGACATGTCACACACACACTGACAGCAGAGGCATTAGACAAAGGCCATGCACATTAATTACCATCATGCCACACCTCACATGGTGAACATTTCTACCCGCTCCTTCCGCTCCTTCCGAAGCAGCTCTCTCCCTTGCCTTCTGTAAGAGTGTAACGAGGACCTCCCCGACTCCTGGGATTAGCTTAGGGAGGGAAGACGCTGTTGTTGCACAGAGGAGTTAGCGGTGCCTGTGCTAGAAGAGGAACAAGCTGGAAGCGTGTTTCTGCCAGAGTCTCCCAGGTTCCACAGCACAGGCCGGCGAAGAAGAACTGGGACCCGGAGAACCAGGACTCGGAGCACCGGGACAGGGCAAGGTCACCTGCCTTTCTGACCAGCAAATGCGCCCCTGGCCATGGTCAACCAAAGGCCTGGCTTTTGTGTCGTGTGTCATAGAGCCAAAGGATCTGGAATTCAGTTCTTTTTTGAACTTTGCGAAAAGGACCTCCAACAAAGCACAGGTTATGGATCACTTGAGGAGGAAGGTTCCGCTCTTTTGCACCCGAGTGTTGCTGTTGATAGGACACTGCCACCCATTGTGAGGACAGGCTGGGCAAAGCATCAGCAACTGCAAATGGTTGCTAGCTGTGTCACTGGGAAGCCAAAATCAGTCCCTAAGCTGAAGGTGTGGTCTCCATGCTATCAGGCTCTGGTTGGTTGAAGCTAAACGCCACAATAACCAGGCACTGCAAAGAAGCCATGGGCCCACGCTGGTGTGTGCAGACCTGGCAGAGAAGCAATGGGCAGCCCTCTGCGCTGTCCCTGGACAGACAGGAGGACCCCATTTCTCAGCCTTCCTTGCAACAAAGTCCGCCACTGCTTTGGGCTCTGGCCCGTGGGAAGTAGGCAGAAGTGATGGGGGTTTTTTGGAGGCTCGGCCAAAAAGCTCCTGAGCGACCTTCAACAAACTCTCCCTGCTCTAGGATGACTTCAAAGGTCACATACTGCAGATAGTGGCTTCACAAGGCATACGGCGACAGAATTCCACTTGACAGGAGCTCAAGAGAACTCCTCAGACTGCACCGGACTGTGGAGAGTGGGAACAAACCTTTGTTGAGCCACTCAGCGGTTTGTTATAGCAGCTTGTGTGTGTGGTCCTGATTCGCCCTCTAGTTGCTGGGATTCTAGCTAAGCCACCCATACGGCTGCTTCTGAGACTTCTGCTGTCTGGCATTTTGCTGATCAGGTGTGTAGTTCAAAATCAATCCCAAAAGAGCACAGCTGTGGAGAAGGAAAGAAGTGGAGAGAGAAGTGAGGCTCCCTTGGGGACCGTGTCATGTAGGATTCCTGGGGCGAAAGAAATCAAGAATATTTCAGTGCCTTCCTTAACTCTAAGCACAGCTGTTCTCAGATCATCCTTGAGCGAGCGTCTGTTCCTTATTCCTAAATGCAACCATCCGTGACATTCTTCAGCCCTGACAAGTAATTTGGTGACTCAAGACATGGGGGCCAAAGGAGGAGCTCCTTTCAAGCGTGGCGCCAAGGCCATTGCTGGGCTGTATCTTCCCTCGGTTCTCTGGTACAGTTTCTACTCTGCAAGTCCTCATTTATTTGGTTATGGAAATCACATTAATTCCCCACCCTAAAGATGCTCCAGGTAAAGACATTCCTTTCAAATTTATTTACTGCATGCATCAATTCCTGATGGTGCACTCAACTCCACGGCTGGAGGGCTGGGGCACAGTTTTGCCCCCAGGAGAGATAATATGTTAATTCAGGTGTTAATGAGACCTTGGTACCTGCTCCCATGAAGGCCAGCAACCTGGGGAGAAGGAAGGCATAAGAACTTCTGCGGGAGCTTCCCAGGGGAGCTGGGCTTCTTTGAGGGGCCCTGAATGATGATTGGAACTTGGAAAAGCCAAGAGAGGAACGACGTTTGGAGAGAATTCTGAAGGTCAGGAAGAGCGTGGGGCAAGAGGCAGACAGAACCAGCATGGATGGAGTGGAAACTTCTTTGAGAAGGAAGGGGAAGAGGGCTCAGGGGAGAAGCAGGAGGCAGAGTCCTGGAGGAAGGTGCAGGTGGGGAAATGGTCCTCTGAGTGCATCCACGCCCTAATCCCTGGAACCTGGGACTGTTACCTTCTGTGGCCAAAGGAGCTCTGCAGGTAAGATGGAACAAAAGGCCTCGAGATGGGGGTGACCCTGGGTTAGGCAAGGTGATCCCTAAGTGGAATTACATCTCTACAAGACTAGAGTGCAGACTTGGGGAAGACTTGAAGATGGGGACAGAGGAAAGAGGGAGGGAGGGAGAGATAGAAAGCAAAGCTCTAGAAGACAGAATAGGGTCCTAAGCTAAGGAATGCAACTGACCCTGGGTGCTAGACCAGGTGAAGACGGGGGTTCCCCACTAGACTTACCAGGAGGAACGCAGTACTGCAGACACCTTGGTTTTAGGATTTCTGACCTCCCAAACTAAGATACTAAAAGCATGCTGTTTTAAACCATAAAGTTTGTTGTCATTTGTCCCAACAGGCTTAAAACACTGACACAGATGACTTCTACTATGAGCCTGATGACACTTAACTTGCCACAATAGTCAGTCCTAGACTCAGATGGCTTTTGAGCAGAGGCTGAAGTCACCCATTCTCCTTAGGCACATGGTACAAGGCCCACCTTAGCATCGTAGAAACAGGTCCTACCTGTGCTGATCCCCAAGTACCCCAGCAGGATGATGCTGAGGAAGCCCAGCAGAACATCAGGATGTGTGACACATGTGCAGTGGTGCCACAGTCACTGTCATCAAATTCCTTGCTCCTTCTCACCTAAACTATTCCAACCTGCCCTCTCTGCCTTTCATCTCGTGTCTATGCCAGTTGCTGCTAGGTGCATTGTTCCCCAAGACAACCTTTGATTATAGGAGTTCAGCCAAATACAGTCCAAATTCTTCAAAGCACCACTTAAACCCTGCAGGGCCTCAGACTCCCTTGTAGCAAAAGTCATCCCCACCTCTGGTTCCCTCCCAGGATGATACCACCTCCCTGGTAAGCAGGCCATCCCAACACGGCCTTATGACCTGCACACTCAGCATTGCTTTGCTAGGCTAAGAAGCCCTTGCCCAGGAAAACAAAAAGGACTAACTTCATTGTTAACTTCATGAACTTGCCAAAAAAATCCACTTCTATGACCATCAAGCTATTCGATTCTGCAGTGCAGTGACCGAGGGTTACTTACTCTTGAGGCTCTTGAAAACCTCATCTTTATTTTCTCTCTGTTGGCTTCATTCCTAAACCATCATGACAGGGTCTTTGTCCAATCCTAACCCAGCTTTCTCCATACCGCAAGACCAGCCACATGCAAATCTTACAGATATTCAGCTTGGCTTTCCCTCTGGATGACACCACCCAGACTTTTTTGTCCTAGCCACAGGATGTTGAATGATATTTTAGGGGAGTCAATGTGGGACATGCAGTCACATTTGGGACTGCCAGCTTCCCTCCTCTGTCTGGTAGACAGAATAATGACTGTCTCTGGATGTCTACATCTTCATCCCAGGAACCTTGCATGGCCAAGGGAATTTGAGGTGGTAAATGAGTTTAAGGTTGCTAATCAGATGGCAAGATTTTGAGATGACAGGATTACCCTGGTTATGCAGGGGGAGATCAGTCTGATCATACAGATGTCTAAATGTGGAAGAGGGAAATCGCCTGGCTGTCCTTCCATAGCAAGGACAAATGCCATCTCCTCTGCACACCCCTCCCCACACACAGCTCTCCTGAAGCCTCCCAGAATCTGCTTTGTTCTCCTTCCCTTTAAGCAGTGATGGTGAACCCGAGGCACACACACTGCAGCAGGCTGCCTGTATCACTAAACGCCCAAAGAGGTTTGCCAGCCTTGCTGAAAGCTGTGATGTTTAATAGTGACACAACCGACATCTTGCTTTTCTTATATTCCCCCTTGGTTTAAGGCTGCAGACAGGTTTATTCTTTTACTGTAATCACAGGATTCTGCCTGCACCACCTGAATGGTGCCGATGTTAACAACCAAAGTAGCTCAATGTGAGTCCTGTAGGTGGAAGACCAAACATCAGTTCTCAGGAACCAGGGCTGTGGGAAGCTTCAGAGACCGCTACGATATGAACGGGAAAATATTTCTACTCA